GATCCCTTCATCTTTTCCACCCAGGCCCCCAATCCTTTTCCCCATCTAGTGGCTAGGATTTGGCACATGGGCATTTTGTAAGCCTTCAAGTCTCTGCCCCCAGAGGACAGGGTTTTCTCATGTAATTATTTCATGCCTATATCATGTAAGTTGAATATACATATGTTGAATACACACAAACTCACATACCATATATGTGGGTTTATTAACCATTAAATGTTGTATTAGTCTTAAGAGATATATATGCGCACACATTTAGAGCTTTGTATCTCTTTTTCCATCATCATCATTATCATCATCATCATTTGCGGAAGTATCAGTATCAGCATCATCAACATCATCGTAACGATGACTTATTCCACCTTTAGTGTAGACCAGTCTTTAGACTTTAGCAATTTAGATGTATATGTTTCTTTAATTGTCAAATGCCATGATGTAGATACTACTATTATCTTTATAACATAGGTTGAAACACTGAGGTTCAAACAAATTAAGCAACTTGTGTCTGACTCCAGAGCTATACTCTTAGCCACTAAAATGTATGACCTCTGCACTCATTTCTTAGGGCTGACAGAACAAATTACTACAGACTGGCTGGCTCAAAACAACAGAAATAAATACTCTGACAGGTCAAGAGGCCAGAAGTTCAAAATGCAGGTGTTGGCAGGGTTGGTTCTTCTGGATACTCTGAGGGAAAGCCTGTCACATGCCTCTTTCTGGCAGTTTCTAGCAATCCTTGGCTTGTAGACACATCATGTCAATCAGTCTCTGCCTTCATCTTTACATCAGCTACTTCTCCAAGTCTCTGCATGTCTTTCTGTTCCTTTTCTCTTCTTATTAGGTAACCAGACCTTGGATTTAGGGCTCAACCTAGGCCAATGTGATCTCACTTGCTCTTTACCTTAATTACATTTCTAGAAACTGTATTTGCAAATAAGATCACATGTTGAGGTCCTGATAGACATGTATTTATCCAAAGAACTCCCATGTTATCATACATCTTGATAAACAGCACTACGTTTGACTAGATCTACATTATTCTCCTTCCCTATTAGTGGACATTTAGGTTGGAGAGGGTGACAGCTAGCACAGAGGACCTTGGTGTAAATCACACACAGGCACTCCCTTTCCTTGGACGACCAAGGTGCCTAGGTCAGTGAGCTGAGCAGGGGCTGGATTTCAGCTTCCACTTACCTGCTGTCAGCCACCTTTCTGCAGTGGGACATGGTGGCTCAGGTCTGAGAGAATGGAACGTAGGGTGGATTTGCTACTATTTTAGAATATTTAAGAAGCTTGATTTTGCATTTGACTTTTTTTTTAATGTTTCAGAGCAGGAAGCACACAATGTCTGAATTAAAAGAGGCCCTAGAAATCTTTTGCTCCAAATGCCTCAATTACATAGGAGTAGAAAATGACTATAATATTTTATATTAACTTGCTGTTTGTTGTTTCACAAAGTATAGTTGAAAGGTATTGTTTTTCAGTCTCAGGAAACAGAGAACCAGAAGTTTTAACTAACTTTGCTACAAACTAGGATAAAATTTCAACTCTTGTGTTTCCTCGGTACCTTGATTACATCAGGCTGACTGAAGCTGAGCCTGCTTCCTCTTGTGCATCCCAGCTGTGACATAATCATCATTTTAAAATGTTCACTGACAAGGACATATTCATTCTTCTATGTCTGTATTCTAATTTCTTATGAAACTACCTAAACCTTTCTTCCTCTCTTTTGAACTTGGCTTTGATGAATACATTTCTGACCAGATAAAACAAGTTGTGAGTGCAGCCTTCTTAAATTAAAATGACCACCTTTCTTTATATCTTCATACATATACACCTATTACTGTAGTCCTTTTGTTGCTGTGACAAGCCTGATATTTTAATAGCATAAATTTCAAAGGGCAGAGGAAGAAAAATACAGCAGCTTCTTATTCTGAAATTTAAGTACTTTTTAAATACTTGTTTTTTCACTTTTTGTAGAGAAAAAGTTTAATTTTTAAGGCCTAAAATAAGTGAAAATAACTCAGTGAAATAAATAAGAATTCAATTTTGTGGTCTAATTAGTATACCAATGTTCTTAGCATTTGCTTTCTTCATAGATTGTGGTTTCTTCATAGATTGTGGTTTCTTGGTTGTATAGAACACAGTTGACTCCTCTCTATGTTTCTTGGGGTTTAACACAATGCCAACCACACACTTGCTAATAAGGTCATGTCGATTGAATGGCACAAGCTCCATCTCTTAGTCCTTATGCATTCTGCTTTGGCCACCGTGACTATTCACTATCTGGACACACTGTGCCTTGTACCATCGTCACACCTTTGCAATGAATGACTTTTCCCCAGTGGTCCCCTTGCCAGGTTCCTATTCATCTTTTAAGATCCAGTTCAAATATCACATCCTCTGTGAAACATTTCTTAAGGGCAAGATGATGCTCATTCATCTCTATGTCCCCAGCAGCTGACACAGAGTCAAAGATAACAGAATGCGTATTGAATGAGAAAGTGAATGAACAGAGGGACGGAGCCAGTATCCTATAACAGATAAGAACATGGGCTTTATGGTCTGGCAAACCTGGGTTCATAGTCCTGCTTCTTGACTCACACCCCGGGAGCCTTGGTCTGGTTACATCATCACTCTGAGACCTCTTTTTCTTAGCTGTCAGATGAGGATATGATAGTATCTGACTCAATGGGTTCTTGTGAGAATAAAACAACATCCTGTTTGGAAACCCCTTCATCTCATGAGTGCTAAATGACAGTCAGCTTTGATAGAGTTGTACAGTTTTACTTTGATTGCACTTGAGAGGCTGCGGTTTGGCTCAGTCTGGCTGGCCTCAGTACAATTGTATTAGATGGAAATATTTTGGTTGGGGAGCCATGGAGTTGTCCTGGCTACCACCCCATTTTTAAAGAGAGTAAAACTACAAAAAAGCGGACTCCAAGTAAATGAAAAGCACTACGTCAGTAGAACTTCTCCTGGAACTTAAGTTTTAGGGGAAAGAGACAAACCACAAAACATAAACTAATAGAAAGGTTTTTGAAAATTTAGAAACTTTGTAAGTAAGTTCTAGGGGATGATCTCAGACCTACTTTTGACCTAAATTTCTATGTCTTTGCATAGTGGCAAATACACACTTTGGAGACTGAATTCAGCCTATAGGCTGGTGATTTGGCCTTACACTGTTTAAAAAAAAATTGAAGTAGACGTGAAGATGAAATAAAAAACTGTTATGAAAATTTTCAAATCTATACCTATTTACAGTGATTAGTATAGTAAACTTCCACATAACTATTATTCAGCTTCAATATTTAGCAATATTCTAACATTCTGTTTCATTGTGTTTTACTAAAGTATTTAAAAACAAATGACAGAGATTGTATCATTTCACTCATAAATATAAAAATAAACTATAATCCATTATTACAACCAGCAGATAAAAAATTGATTTCTTAAAACCCAACCTGTATTGTTTTCCCAGATTGCATCAATAAACTCTTTTACAGTTATTTTGTTTGAATCGGAATTCAAGCACAGTTCACAAACTCTGTTTGTTGGCTACATGTTGTAAGTCTTTTGATGTGTAACAGTTCCCCTCCTTTGTTTCCATACCATCTATTTCTGTAAGAATTTTTAAATAGACAACATTCCACAAAAACATAGGTTTGTAGTTTCTTTTGAAAAAATGGGAAGATCTGGCAGCCCTGCTGTACACCCCCATAAGGCAGCACTCGGTGGCAGTGCAGTGGAGACTGCAGCCGTTAGCTGGTGTGAGTGCCTCCAGATCCCCACAGCCCTCTCCGGTCCCTACTACACGAACCAGCTCCTGGCATTTGTGTTGCCGACCCAGTCCCGATGGGCCTTGTGCTGGCCACCTCTGACCTACACATTCATCTGTTGGGCGATGAGAACTGAATCCTGAGTGATGCTCTCGAAGTCCAAAAACACGCCCAGTCATTAGGTGAAAGTTCAGTTTTCTGTACTGTATCACTTAGGTGAGAATGTAAGCTGAAATGTTAAAAAATTTTCAGCTAAGAATTAATAAGATTAAAAAAAGACTTGTTCGTTAGCTTAAAACTTTATGATTTGACATGTCTCTTTTCTTGATCATTCCAATTAATCTACTGTATAGCATTTCATCATAGCAATATCTTTTTCACCTGTGTGGAGGTTTGATCCTACAAAGGCCACTGGACAGGGTGTCACAAGACCCAAACTTGATCCTCTGTGACAAGTGGGCCACTGTTTTGCTTCTCTGAGACAACTTGCAGAGTGGAGGTATTAGCAGCCCATCTCTCAGGTCGTTGTGAAGTTCAGATAAAGTAACAGATGTGACATTAATGTGTAAACTGTGTCGCTCTGCACTTAAGGTATTAGTAAGCATTAGGCTATGCTGAATTATGCATAGCATCCTCTTTCACACCTCCATGCAGTGACTCTGCTGTTCTTTCTCCCTGGAGTGCCCTTAAGAATTAATTGCTAGTCATCCATGCCCCCCAAACTCTTCGTATAACCTTTGTCACACTGTATTAACACCATTTGTTTACATCTTTGTCTCTTTAAGATTCTGAAAGTAAACATCAGTTTATTCAGTGTTTGGCACACAGCAGACTCCCAGTAAATGTCTAGTTGAAACAGATTGTATTGATTGGAATAATTATTATATGAGTGCCTGTCTTGAAGGACAAAGTCAATGTCTACACAATCTTTAGTTCCATCTGATAACTGCCAAGCCTTGGCCTTGTTAAAAGCTGATGATGAAGATGATGATGATGAAATATTTATAAAAATAGTTGCATATCTTTAAGTAAATCATCTGACTTCTTGACTATACTATAAGTAATTTGAGCTCATTAACAATGAAAGAACTTACATGTGGAATGCCTGTCATTAAATGTTTTTTTTTTCTTCTTCTGGGGAAAATGTGAGTTCCCAGTCATCATTTCGGCCCCAGTCATCTTACTCTCTTCATTAACTTGGGGCTTCTGGCTCTGTTACAGCTGGTTTGCCATCCACCCAGTCAGCATGAACAACACCAACCACCTTGTGAACAGCGACAACATGGGCTATGCATCTTACCTTTTCGAGCAAGATAAGAACACAGGATACCTACCTGGACAGGTGAGAATTTATGTTAATGAAAACTTTATCTTAATCCATTGAGTATCATCATTCATGCACTTCAAAATAGCTGATTCAGATTTTCAGAGTGAAGTGTCTTATGGACATTACATACTGATATGCTTGAATAAAAAGAATTTTCCATCTTCCCTAATAGGGAAAGAAAGTTCAAAATGACAAATAAACTTGGTGTCAGAAGCTACTTATATTGATGGCTTCATAATTAGTTGGATAAAAAAGGGCAAGTTCCAGATTTTTGCAATATATATATAGTAGTTTTTTAATCAGATTTGGAAATATGATAAATGTATTGATGCTTACTTTTGTTTTCAGAGTTACAAAAGTATTAAACATCTTAATGGTGTAAGAACCTGAATGAGGACAGGTGACACATCCTTTTCATGGTCCAGGCTTTCCTCATAATAGTGAATTTCTTTCAGGAGCTTTGTTCTACTTTCCTGTAATAAGGTCTAAATCAGAGACAACTCTCATCCATCAGACTTGTTTGTAACTTTGAAACACAGTGAGTGACAGGACCAGATATAGGAACCAGGAATCCAGCCCTGCATACCAGGAAGCTGCTCAAGTCTCTGTAGAGACCACAGAGAGAGAAATGAGAGGAAGGACCCTGCTACACTTGACACTAGCATCTAAGCCCTGAATGCAGAAGAATATATGGTAGGGTGAGAGCTCCAGGCCCTCGACTAGAATAATGCTCTCTTATAAAGATATTGACCCTGAGAGCACCTGCTCTGATCTTGTAGCTCCTTTCTTGACGAAACTTATATATATTTTTTATTTTAGCCTGTGTTTTAGGAAAAAGAAAAGAGGTTCTCATTTATGATCACTGGCTGGGTTCTAGGTATTTTGAAATAAATACTCTTTTTAGCATCATAATTTCTGATACTTGCTTATCTCTTTTTTGAAGGAAATTTATGACATTAATGAAGGAATGGTATAAACAAACAAAATAGAAGTGGACTCATAGGTACAGAGAACAGAGTGACAGCTGTCAGAGGGGAGAGGGTTAAAGGTCTGGGAGAAAAAGGTAAAGGGATTAAGCAAAAAAAAAACAAAACAAAACAAAACTCATAGACACCAACAACAGTAGGGTTACCAGAGGGAAAGAGGGGTGGGGGCAGATAGGGGAGGGTAAAGGGCGTGGTAAATGATGACGGAAGGAGAATGGACTTTGCATGGTACACACACTGTATACAGGTGCTGTATTATAGAATTATACACTTGAAACCTATATAATTTTATTAACCGGCGTTACCCCAATAAATTCAATAAAATTTAAGGAAAAATTGTCACTTGGAATAATTTGACCCCTACCTCTTCAAAGAAAAACTGGAATGGTAGACCAGTGGGTTGAGGTTAATGCCTTGCATCATTCTAAAAGGTTATGTATTGTCACTTCAGGTTGAAGAGATAGAGAAAAGAGGCAGAAGCTCCAGCCTGGATGGTGGATGTATATTTAGGTTTAGTTTTATGGCAGGAAAATCTGGATTCACTCTTCTCTTTTGAAGCCAATAGGGTATTTATTTTTATAGGGCAAATGCTCCTTGGAGCTCTATGTACACCACCAGAGACAAGACTGTCGTTTCAGCATTTTGTAATTTGTTGCTGTACCTGTGTTCCTCATCAGAATGTTTCTGTTTGAGGCACAAATTTGAAACTGTCCTGCTTGAAACAGCTCTATTGGTAATTGGAATGTCATGAGTAGTAATATGTACACTCACGGTAATGTGAGCCTTTTCAGGAGTAAGACATTTTCTCAGAATATTGTACACTCTTCTTTTTATTTTGTGCAAATGATTTTGAATAGTTCACCAAAGCAGATTGAATGTTTGCATTTTTAATTGAAGTCATGGGAATAAAGAATAAAAGGCAACTGGCTGTTCTTTTGGCAGGGACCGTTTGTAGCAGCTTTTGCTTCATCAAATCTAGGAGATGTGTCCCCCAATATTCTCGGCCCCCACTGTGTCAACACGGGAGAGTCCTGTGAAAACATCAACAGCACTTGTCCCATCGGTGGGGTAGGTAATTATGACAGGAATCTGTTTTTGTATCTCATCTATATTTTATGTTTAAATAGTCATCATTAATTTACAAATATGTTTTTCTCAAGAATACTTAATCTCTATTATCTGCTCTTCTCAAAAGCACCCACTAAATTTCAGTTGGCTAAAGTTATAATTTTCCATATGATTATGAAGTTTTTTGAATGGTGAGACAATTTAGTAAATGTCAGAGATCAAATATCCTTCCCCAAATTTGGACAGTCTGCAATGTTTTGCCTTGGTATTTCTGCAGTCACAGGCTAGTACCCAAAACTCCCTGCCTGACACATTTCTCACTGATTATGAAGTCTGTAGATTTTTAAAAAAAATATAAGATCGGCCTCTTTTCTTTGAAAATTACAAAATCGTGCTGTAAAAACTCAGACAACATAGAGCATAGAGTGGTTAAAAAGTGAAAGTCCCTATTCACCTCCCTCCTCTTCCCCCTCTCCCCTTTCCAAGAAGTTGCCTACGTACTATCTTCCTATGTATTTGTGTACGTAGCCATAAACAACATTTTATAACTCATTTATTGATTTTTTATTGGTCCAGGATTTGAGTTTTCCACTCAATTTAACTTCATCTTTGTTTTATGACTCTCTGTAGGTCTGTGTGGTAAGTTTTAAAGCTAAACAAGGCTGTGCCATCATTTATTTAACAGCTTCCCCCTCCCTGAAGCCCACTCAGATTTTTCATCTAAATGAATAGATACTTGTTTCTGGGTTCTTACTCTTTGTATTTAAAGAACATTTCACCTGTGATACTACTTTTATTAAACGCTATTTCTGGGCTATTTATTCTATTCCAATCAACCCCATGAGCAATACAGGTTTAGCAATTATACTCTTCTAGTATATATTACTACTTTTATATAGTAAGTGTTCCTTCATTACCCTTTATTGTAAAATTTTCACACACTATTAATTCACAAGTTTTGATGATTACCTATTGAATTCCAAAATTCACAGAAGAAATGGTCCAAAAGTTGTACTTATATGCAATAGAGTATACATCAACTAATCTTAATGTCTTCTGTTGAAATACTTAATGTGGGGAAAAGCTCATAACACATAATGTTGACTAAAAAAATCAGTATTTAATATTGAATATGCATTATGTTGCAATTTTGAAAATCAATGTATCATGGTAAAAAGACAAAGTAAAACACATTGAATTATTGACTATGGTTTTCTCTTTTTGGTACTATTATAAGTAGGTTTTATTCTAGTTATTTTTTTATTATTTTTCTATGTATACATTTTGTTTCTCTTTTACAATGAGCATAGATTACTTTATAATAGGAAAAAATTACCATAAAATCATACCCCTTCCTCAATAGAACCCTGTTTTTCTCTGCTCCCCTCCATGCATTGAATTCACTTCCAGTGTGTTTGCCAGATGGAAAAATTCTCTCCTATCTGATTGGAGACAGTTTATGTCACATGCCCATCCCTGGACCAAAACAGGTGCTGGGGAATGGTATATTCCAGACTGGCTTAGTCTAGAGTTCTGACCAATCTTCAGTGAGGCGCAGGGCATGGCTGTGATCATGTCAGACTAATCATGAACTAGGAATGGGACCACTGGCTGCGAGGGGAGGTGGCTTTCTGAACAAAGTCAGGATCCACATAAGAAGGAGAAAGAGGGAAATGTGGCAAAAGGTGCCATGTCGTCTGCTTTAATGTGGTTTCTTAAAAAAAACTTTAATATTTTTTAGGAATAGATATATGCTTGTTATAAATTCAAACAATTTGTAAAATTTCAGAAAAAATAAAACCATGTAAAGGAGCACCCTCTTACCCCACAATCAGCCAGTTGAAATTTTAATGAGCTTCTTTCCAGGCAACTTTTTATGCGTCCATCACATATATACATGTAAAATTTTACATAAGTGGACCATGTACTTTTAGTTATAACCTGCTTCCTTATTTCCAGCAAATATACCTTAAAACATCATTTAAAATCACTCTGTAATTTTCAGTTTTAAGTACCATAGTTAACCAGTCCCCTGCGGATGTATTTTCTTTTCCTGCCTACTTTCTTCCTTCACCCCCACCCCCAACACAGGCTACACCTTGCCCGAATGCTCCCTCAGTCACGTTTCCACCCACAGAGCCCCAGGGACAGTGTCCTGATCTCTCACCAACCCCGGGACTGTCAGTCTTTCAATTGTTACCAACACAATATGCAGAGTTCTCTTTGCAGCTGAAACTTATATTTGATTATTTGTGAGACTGAACATATTTTTATGTTAAATGGATATTTACATTTCTTTTTTGTGAATTACCTTTTTTCCCCTGTATTTCATCATGCACCCATTATGATGATTTTTTACTTTTATGCTTTTCCAGCTTTATTGAGATATAATTTACACATGGCATTGTTTAATTTTAAGGTTACAATGTGATGATTTTGATATACAGATAGGATTTTTTTTACTACAAATAAGAGATAACTCAGTATGGATAAATCAGAAGGTATTAATAAAGATACTTTTTCTTGCTGACTTTAAAGTTTCTAATATTTTAAAGGCTTAGTTTGTCATAAATAGTGCAATCCCCTTTTCCCACATTTACCAGTTGTCTTTAGCCTTACTTAGGTTTTGGTTTTCCATATGAATGTTTAGAGTGTTTAAGTTGTCAGATTTATTAAGCCTGTTCTATATAATTTTAGAAGAGTCTTCCATACCCTTCAGACTTTAAAATATATTCACTCATAATTTTAATACTTCTGGTTTCATTTATAATATTTAAATATCTAATTAATCTAAAAAATTTCTGATGTAAGAAGTAAGTTATAGAGTCAGATTTATTTACTGTGTTTTTTCCCCAAGGCTCAGCTAGTTTTTCCAATATACTTTTAATTGAATTTCAATTTAGGGTGATCATGAGCAAGAACCACAGGCAAGAACAAGCAAGCAAACATGTGCAGTGAGTGGAGACACATGGCTTTAGGTCTCAGCTACCTGTATGGTCTTCGGAAAATCCTCTAACACACCTGAGCCTTATTTTTTTTATTTTTAAAAGTAGGTGCTGGAATAGATTATTTCTAAAGATATTTGCTACTCCAATTTAATGGACAGTTTTGTTTTTCTTAATATTTAAATTGAGAGACTATCTGAAAAGAAATACTAGAATGTGTCTTAAAAATATATTTACTTAAATTCACTTGTAATTTTCTGTTTCTTAAAATAATTGCCTTTTTTTGCTAAGAACATATCATGTCTCATTTTGTTCCAGCCTACCATGTGCATGGCTACAGGGCCTGGGCAGGATATGCTTGACAGCACGCAGATCATAGGACGGACCCTGTACCAGAAAGCAAAGGTAAGCTGGGCACCCAGCTTCTTCCATTTTCATTTAAGCTGTTCTTGAAAATCTACCAATGTTGTTCATTAGGAAGTCAATAATTGTAAGGAAGACAAGAGCTCAAGCTGCACCAAGGACTCGGGAAGACTGGATGCTGTTACGTGGCAGTTAGGAAGGTTCCTTTCACAAGCCACACAGGAATCTCTCTGACTACTCGTCCAACTGCTCACAGGAAGTGCAATTAAAACCAAGTCATCAGGAAAACATTTTACTTCATCCAGAGTGGTTGCTTTGGACAGTGAGATGGTACACAGACTGTAGGGTTTTCAATTCCTGTGCTGTCAGACATGACCAGATTTCCAAAATCTCAGAAGTCATCAGGGCTTTGCCTGCCGAATCACTTAGACACTTCTTAACTTTTCCTTCAGCAAGGTGGCAAAGCTGACTAGCACAGCTCACTCTCTTGCAATTTGGATTCAAATACGTTCTAGAACCTCATGTCCAGTGAAATTGCTATGATTTACTCTACCCTGCTCCCTCTCGTAAATTTTATCTTCCATTTTGTTCCATGTTATGTGTCAGCTTTTATGGAGACAGATTTCTGATTGAAAAGACAAAGTGTGAGCTGGAGAGCTGAGATATCTGTGATAAAGATAGTTAAATCCCTTCCTTTTTATAGCTGACTTATACTTTCATTGTGTACACACACTTAAGTGTTTGTGTGTAAGTAAATATTTTGTTCCAAGGGCTGTAAAATGTTTCAGGAGGAATTAAGGAAGAACAAAAGCACCTTTTATAACATCAGACACTAGCCAGCCCTAATTGCTGTGGTTTCTTTTTAATTACTGTGGTATTATCAGTGGATTGCTCTCAATTAACAGATTCTATTTAGGGAGTGCACCTGTGACACAATTTGGTCGCAGAAATTTTGTTACCTCTCAGGGCCTGGGAGCCACAGAGGTTTGTCCCACATTCTGCATTCTTTTCTTAGCAAGGCACAACGTCCCTCTCTCTTATCAGGGGAGGCAGGCTGCAGCTGGCCTCACTTGTCTTGAGAGCTCCCAGGTGGCTGCTGAAACAGGGATGGAGACTGCGTGGAAATGAGTTGTGTGTCAGGCAAAGGGACTTGTGCTGAAGCAGGATTTAGCTATATTGTATGACAGATCAATACAAACAAATATTTGAAACATGTTTTGACTCACATAAATTGACCAAATTGAACAAAAAGGGATCATCAAAGAGTGGGTGGGGTGTTAGGGGAGTTTATGCAGATTAAGTGGGGCCTGAAGTCTTTCAAGCCAGCCTCAGGCCCTGGCCCTGCTGGAGGTCTCTAGGATTCTGACAATGCCTGATGATAAGTGCTTGTTCTGGCAAAGAAAGTAATTTGACCCTCTTACTTCTAATCTTAATTTTTTTTTTTTTTTGACTGTCTTTCAAGCGAGACTGGGGCCTTTTGTGCCACATCCTGTATCACTACTCTTTCATCTTGCGGGGAATAGACACAAGTCAGCCATCCAGGGCCTTCAATTGTCAGGGAAGCAACAGTTGGTAGAGAGGTCCCACGTGGGCAGTGGCTATTTCTAAGCAGCCAGCAAAACCAAACTCAGCTGGCAGATCCTTTTCCAAACTGGGGCTTATTGGGTACAGGGGTAGTACTCATTTTAGCTTTTTGCTCATAACAGTTAGCCACTGTGCGTTTTCTAGGAGCTGTATGCCCTGGCCTCCCAGGAGTTAACTGGACCAGTGATTTCAGCTCACCAGTGGGTGAACATGACGGATGTTACGGTCTTGCTCAATTCCACACATGCAGTAAGTGTCTCTGAGTCACATTGTTTATGCCACAACAGTAAAGCTCTGAGCTGATCTCATTATTAGTGGAATTTTAACTTCCGTTTCTTTTGATCTTTCCTTGTTTCCATTTTGTTTTTCAAATCTTTCCTTTAGGTAAAAACATGTAAACCAGCACTGGGCTACAGTTTCGCAGCTGGCACCATTGATGGAGTTGGGACCTTCAATTTTACGCAGGGTGAGGTGCAGTCTAATGAACTCTGTGGTTCCAGGTTCTGAATCTTTAAGGTTGTGTCTCCTAAGAGAGTTTACTTGAGGCCAATAGAATTTCTATTTTTATTTCTAAATTCTGGGGTGTGCAGATATTCCAGGTTTGTGCATGATAGCTAGATTTCCCAGGCACAGGTGTCTTTTGTAACTCAGCTTTCCACGGATTCAAATAGAATCAGAGACAAATTCTGTATGTGTTGTAGTCTATGAATGAATACTTTTAAATTGTCCTTGGGCAGGGGTTGAGTTGGGGGTGCAAAGGGGACTTGTCCCTGTACCTTTAAGTCAGCTCTTCCAACTTGTTAATTAGTGTCTCTCTTTTCCTTATTCCTTTATTGAAGCCAAAATTCCTCAGGGCAGAGGGCAAAGGCCTTTAGGAGCCTAATGCATGTGGTCCCAGGTCCTCTTTCTGTGTGTATTTCCACAAATTTATAACTGATTATTTTAGGTTTTATAATTTTATCCTGATTATTACTGTAATAATAGTCATTGTAAAGTACAGAAAGTAAAAAAAAAAAAAGAAGGAATATCACCTATAGGAAACAGTATGTCTTATTTCATTCTCATCTTTTATGTATGTATATTTTGGAACCATTAATTAAAACATTAATTAATATAGTTCCAATTGGATATATTTGACACCATCTTTCCTCATAATATTTCATCCATGTTGGTCTAATTTTCTAAAACAGTAATTTTTAATAGCTTTATTGAGGTATAATTCACATGCCATACAATTTATCCATTGAAAATATTATAGTTCAGTAGTTTTTAATATATTCACAGATGTGTGCAACCATCACCACAATTGATTTTAGAACATTTTCAATACCTCAGAAAGGAACCCTATGCTCTTTAGTTATTACAACCCCCTAGCCCCCAAATCTCCCAGACCTAAGTAACTACTAATCTTTCTGTCTCTATATTTTCTTATTTTGGACATTTCCTATAAATGGGATCATAAACTATGTAGCATTTTGTGTTGCCCTTTTTCATTTAGCATCATGGTTTCAAGGTTCTTCTATGTTGTACCATGCATCATTACTTCACTCCTTTTTTTATGAGTGAAAAACTGCATGGTTTTACCAGATTTTGTTTATGCATTCCCTAGCTGATGGACATTTGGGTTGTTTCACTTTTTGGCTTTTGTGAGTTATGCTGTTATAAATGTTCATGTGTAAGTTTTTGTGTGGGCATGTGATTTCATTTTGCCTCTTGAATATATACCTAAAGGTGAAATTGCTAGATCCCATGGTAACTTTATGTTTAATCATGTGAGACTATTTCCAAAGTGGCTTTGCAATTTATCATTTCCAGCCAATTTAAAAAATATATATATTTTATTTATTTTCAGAGAGGGGAAGAGAGGGAGAAAAAGGGAGACAAACATCAATGTGTGGTTGCTTTTTTGCACCCCCTACTGGGGACCTGGTCCACAACCCAGGCATGTGCCCTGACTGGGAATGGAATCAGTGACCCTTTGATTCGTAGGCTGGCACTCAAATTCATTGAGCCACACCAGCCAGGGCTCCAGCCGATGTTTTGAGGGTTCTTATTTCTCTACATCCTTACCAATACCTGTTATTCTCTGGCTTTTTTTTTCACTTAATCTCTTCACCTTTTCATCCAGCTCCCCAACCCCCCTCCCCTCTGACACCTGTTAGTCTGTTCTCTGTATCTGTGAGCTTGTTTCTATTTTATATGTTAGTTTATTTTGTTCATTAGATTCCACCTATGAGTGAAATCATATGGTACTTGTCTTTCTCTGACTGGCTTATTTCACTTAGTATAGTATTCTCCAGGTCCATCCATGCTGTCACAAAAGGTAAGGTTTCCTTCTTTTTTACAGCTGATTAGTATTCTGTTGTGACATGTACCACAGCTTTTTAATCCACTCATCTACTGAAGGACACTTGAGCTGCTTCCAAGTCTTGCCTATTGGAAATAATGCAATGAATATGGGGGTCCCTATATTCTTTTGAATTAGAGTTTCAGGGTTCTTCAGATATATTCCCAGAAGTTGAATCACTAAGTCATAAGGCAGTTCCATTTTTAATATTTTGACATAATACCATACTGCTTTCCACAGTGGCTGCACCAACCAGCATTCCCACCAACAGTGCACAAGGGTTCCCTTTTCTCCACGATACTTGCTGTTTGATTTATTGATGACTTTTTTATTCTACTCACCCTATTGAGTATGGATTGGTATCTCCTCATGGTTGTGATTTGTATTTCCCTAATGATTAATTATGCTTAGTGTATTGTCATGTGTTTATCGGCTGTTTGTATATATTTCTTGGAAAATGTCTATTCATATGTTTTCCTCACTTTTAAATTGGCTATTTGTCTTTTTATTATTGAGTTGTAAGAGTCCTTTACATATTCTGTATGGAAATTCTTTGTCAGTATATGATTTACAAGTATTTTCTCCCATCCTATGAGTTTGTTTTCACTTTCTTGATTGTGTCCTTTGAAGTGCAACAGTTTTCAATATTGATAAGGTCAAATGATCTATTTTTTTCTTTTGTTACTCATGCTGCTGGTATCATATCTAAGAATCTTTTGCCAAATCTGATGTCATGAAGACATACCCCTGTTCCTTTCTAAGAGTTTTATAGTTTTAGCTCTTACATTTAAGTTTTTGATCAATTTTGAGTTAACTTTTACATATGATTTGAGGTAAGGGTCAGAGGGTCAGACCTCATTCTTTTGCTTGTGGCTATCTAGCTATCCCAGCATTATTCCTAGAAAGACTGTTTTATTTACCTGTTGATAAATAAGTAATAATTCTTGGTACACTCATTGAAAATCAACTGACCATAGACACATGGTTTTATTTCTGGATTCTCATTTCTGTTCTGTTGACTTGCATGTCTGTATCCTGTACTGGTACTACCCTTTCTTGATTACTGTTGCTTTGTAGCAAGTTTTGAAGCCAGGACATGTGAGTTCTACTTTTTTTTCCTCTCAGATTGTTTTGACTATTCTGAGTCCTCTGCAATTGCAATTCCATATGAATTTTGGAATCCACTTCCCAATTTCTAAAAAGAAGTAAGCTGAGATTCTGATAGAGACTGCATTGAATCTGTAGATTTAATTGGGGGTGTTGCAACCTTAACAATTTTAAGTCTTATAATCCCTAAATATAAATGTTTTTCATTTATTTAGATCTTTACTTTTTTAACAGTATTGTGTAGTTTTCAATGTATAAATTTTACACTTCTTTTGTTTATTTTTTATTTCTAAGTATTTTTTCTTTTTGATGTTGTAAATCAAATTGTTTATTAATTTTATTTGTGGATTGTTCATTGAAGGTGTATGGAAATGCAATTGATTTTGCATATTGATCTTATAGCCTATGACTTTGCTGAACTGGATTATTAGTTTTAATAATTTTTTAGTGGATTACTTAGGGTTTTCTATATACAAGATCATGTAATCTGCAAATAGAAATAGTTTTTATTGTTCCTTTAAAATCTAGATGCTTTTAATTTCTTTTTCTTGCCTAATTTCCCTGGCTACAATCCCCACTACAGTGTTGACTAGGAGTGGCAAGGGTGAACATCTTTGTATTGTTTCTGGTAGTAGTAGAACAGTCATTCATCATTGTGACATAGGCTGTGAGGTTTTTTTTTTTATAAAGTTGAAGACATCCCTTTCTATATCTATTTTGTTGAGTGTTATCATGAAATGGAATTGGATTTTTGTCCAATGCTTTTCCTGCATCTATTGGAATGATCATGTGATTTTTGTTTTTTATTAAAATGATTTATTACATTCATAAATTTTTGGATGTTAAACCAATCTTGTATTTCTGGGATAAGTCCCAGTTAGTCATGGTATATAATATTTTTTATATATTTCTGGATTCACTTTGCCAGTATTTTGTTGTGGATTTTTGTGTACATATTTGTAATTTGTATTGATTTATAATTTCATTTTCTTATGATGTCTTTGCTTTTGTATCAAGGTAATACTGGCATCATACCATGAGTTGGGAAGTGTTTCCTCTTTTATTTTTTTGGAAGAGTTTTTGAAGAGCTGCTATTTATTGTTCTTTAGATGTTTGTTGAATTCAGCAGTGACATCATCTGAGCTGAGCAATTCTTTGGAGTGATTTTTTATTCAGCTTCTTTACTTTTTACCTACCTAGTGAGACTATATATACTTAAGTCAGTTTTTAACAATTTGTGTCTTTCTAGAAATATGTTCATTTTACCAAAGTTTTCTAATTTATTGGCATATAAGTTACTCACAGTATACAGACCCTTTTTATTTCACTAAGGCCAGAAGTGAAGTGTTCTCTCATTTCTGAGTCTTGTAATTTGAGTCTTTTCTCTTTTTATTTTGTTTACTCTAGCTAAAATTTATACATTTTATTGACCTTTTCTTTGTCAGTGAATAATTTAATTAAACATTGTTAACTAAATATTTCCCTGTTAATTCAGTTCCATCATCTGTTGGAAAGAGTATAGTTGTTTTTAATCACAGAAACATTTAGACTCAAATTACACATTTGAGGTAATGAAGATGCAGTTTTCCCATAGGTTAGTTATTTTTCTTTTTTAAAATATATTTTATTGATTATCCTATTATAGTAGTACCAATTTTTCTCCCTTTGCACCCTCTACCATGTACCTCCATTCCCTCCAGCAATACCCCCACACTTAGTTCATGTCCATGGGTCATACATGTGACTTCTTTGACTTCTCCATCTCCTATATTATTCTTAACATCCCTCTGTCTGTTTTGTACCTCCAATTATGCTTCATAATCCCTGCACCTTTCCCCGCATCGTCCCCCTTCCCCATCCCAACTGATAACCCTCCAAATGATCTCTATATCTATGATTCTGTTGCTGTTCTGGTTATTTGCTTAGTTTGGTTTTTAGATTCAGTTGTTGATAATTGTGACTTTGTTGCCATTTTAATTGTTCATAATTTTGATTTTCATCTTTTTCTTAAG